CGGTTGATCTAAAACTAATTGGTGTTAGAAAGGGTGTAACCTTACCCATATAGCACATTCAACCCTCTAGGACTAGACATTCGATTGCGACACTCCAGACCATCGTGCGAGGACTTGATCGATGCCATTTCTGACCCCCAACATCATTCATAACATCAAACAGTGAATTAAATAGGGAAATCAAGTATTCTAACCATTATCAATGATGGGGTTTTCAAATAAAATAACTAAATTTTTTCGGTTTTTGAAAAACAACCACTTTCTCTGGAATTCCCTCATTCCGGAGTAGTATTCATATTCCAGAGTTTATTTAATTATTTATTTTCAATGAAATCTTTTTTAAGGGGATTTCGAATGCTACATACATTTGAAATGTTTAATGTCAACATTCTTTTAATAAAATTAGACATTTTATGCATTAATATCGTATATAGTTTATATTAAGACAAAACTTCAAAAATGGTCCCTATGGTTTCCGAAAATATCAAGTTTAGTCCCTAAGTTCAAAAAACCTCACAGATGGTCCCTGTGGTTTCAAAACTTTTAACAAATGGTCATTCCGCCTAACTCTGTCAGCTTTCTACCGTTAAGTGAGGGGCATTTTCGTCATTTCAATACACAGGGACTATTTATGAGTTTTTCTCTATTTAAAAAAATTATTTAATTAAAGGGCCCCACCTCTCTCTCTCTCTCTCTCTCTCTCTCTTTCTCTCCTTTTAAATCCTCCCTACCCCTTCCCACCGTACCATCCTCCTCCTCCTCTTCCTCCTCCTCCTCCTCTCTTTCTCTCTCTCTCTCTCTCTCTCATCCCAAAAGACACCACCCACTCCATCCTAGTTTAACCACCATCACCATCACATTCCTCCATCTTCGTCACCCCCACCTTCATCTTCTATGGTGACCCATCCCCACCCCGTCTCTCTCACAGACCTGTTAAAAACCACCCATGGAGCAAACCCACTGTAAGAACAATTGCAATACTCACTAGAGAGCACCACTTAATAAGTCATCGATTGTCCAGGTGATTCCTAGACTTTATCCGTTCATGGATAACTGGCTAGATTCAAGCCTCAAGCTTGCTGGAAAATAACTGCGATATGATTGTCGATGGTTACAAAACGCTAACTCAAAAATGGGTTCACCGAAAAACCACAAAGAAGGAGGCGATGAGTTCCTGCCATACACCTTCAGTCGTTGTTGTATTTGAGTGTAATTTGTGTACGTACACATTCAAATCCTTTAACAAACTTGCAAATCGAATCAAATTTTATCAAATTAAAGTAAATCAATCCAACAAAAACATGTTAATCAGATTATCGTATTCAAACCTTTGATTAATTTTGGGTTATTAGGGAACAAATTCGGAAAAAGCACGAGAAACATTATTATATTAAGAGTGAGAGATTATCGTTTTCTTCAACGAATTCGTTGTGGCTTCATACTTATTGAGAAATTGAGTGAAGAAGTAAAATCAACCATCTTCAGAAAACTTATAACTTAAAATCAACCATCTTCAGAAAAGAAAAAAAATACAGATACATATAAATGTAACTTAGGGTGAATTCGAGGGTTTGCAATAAAACAAGCATAAGATCCGAATCCAAAACAAAAATCAAATCAAAACCCACATTTTAACTATAATTGGAAATGTGAACCCAGATCAATCTCAACCCCAATTCACAAAAAAAGAAAACCTTAAATCATGCTAAATTTGTAAGTGATAACACCAGATTCCCAAATCGTACAACCGCAATAACGAAAAAGAGGAATTGACATAAACTAAGTTAAATTTATGAGAAAAAGAACAAATCAAATCAACTTATCATCCTCATGAAGTCTTTCATCTCCTATTGCCTCCACTCCAGCTTCCATTTGCCATCACCTCTGCTAAGAAACACTGGTTGCCACCTCGTCTTTTTCTCTGTATCGACGAGCAACACCAATCCCCGCTATCGTAAGTGTCGACCGACCACCAGCAGGCTTCTCCCCTCCCCCCGCTCATCTTTCCCATCGAGATTAGGCAGAATATAACTGATTGGTGGGTAGATGTGGAATTTTGATTAAGAAGGAAGAGAGGAAGAAGATGAAGTGTTCATCTTGGCTAAAAAGAAAAAGGAGGAGGAGCTGGGGGTATACAGTGGAGAGAGAGAGAGACCCTTTAATTAAATAATTATATATATATATATATATATATATATATATATATATATATATATATATATATATATTTACATAAAGAAAATCTCATAAATAGTCCCTATATATTGAAATGACGAAAATGTCCCTCACTTAACGGTAGAAAGCTGACACCGTTAGACGAAAGGACCATTTGTTAAAAGTTTTGAAACCACAGGGACCATCGGTGAGGTTTTTTGAACTTAGGGACTAAACTTGATATTTTTGAAAACCACATGGACCATTTTTGAAGTTGTCTTATATTAATATGTTTGTTTAACTTTTTGTTAAATTTAAGTTAAAAATGTTTTTTCCCTCGATTTTCGGAATTGTTGTTGATGTTCTACAATTTTTTTTCTAGATTCGAAATTTTAGTATGGAATCCGGAATGTTAGTCCGGAACTTGAATGTCTTTCTAAATGAAAATATATTTTTTTTGTCAGTAATGATGCTTATTCAGAACCAAATTATTATTTTTTCTAAAAAGAATTGTTATTTCTCTCATATATACATTTAAAAATGGTAATGTTACTTAGTTTTCCAATTAAATAGGCTTCTCTAAATTAACCTAAGTGCAACAACCAAACAAAAGTAAAAGGGTAAATTACACCATTCGTCCCTCGTCGATATGCTCAAACGCATGTTTAGTCCCTATTTTCAAAATTTAACTCGGACTGTCCTTTTGTTTGTTTTTTCTTGCATGCTTAGTCCCTCCAGACATAAAAAGACTATTTTGCCCTTAACATTTTTTTTTTAAATTTTCTATTATATATTTATCAGTTTTTAAATTTAAAAAAAAAAACAATGAAAATAAATTTCTCCGGTCCCTTCTTTTTCTTCCAACTTCTCACTCGCTCCTCAACACCACCTGTCCTGCTCCTTTCTCCGATGAGACTAACCAGCCAAAAATCATTTGTTCTCATCTCCTTCCTATCAACCTCGTCTAGCTTAAACAACCTTCCAGAAACTACCAATAATTAAAGGCAATCACCACCACCTCCACCATTGATGAACCTTATATGATTATCAAACATCAAATATTAAACCCAAAACCTACATTTAAATATTAAAATTAAACCCTTCCTCAATCTCTTACCCATTCGGATCTATATTTAGATCAGAAACTCCAATACAGATCAGAAACTCAAAACACCATAAACCACCGCCTCTCCCTCTCTTTACGTGATAGTTAGGGTTTTAGGTGGTGATGTTAGGTTTCTGCGCAAATCTATGGTAACAGAGCAGCTAACAATTGGCGATAGTTGAATAGAGTTTAGATTTGGGAATCATCTTCTCTGATGAAATTACAATGAGTGATTGTGAAGAAAGCTCCAAATAGATATGCACATACACATCACCATCGTTGTAACAAACCATATCTGCCTCTCGTTTTTCCGGCGAGAGGGTAGCGAATCCACACTTTGGCTCAAGAGTAACGAATCTGCACCATCCCTAACCTTCTCTTACCATTTAGATCTACACTCCTTTGTGGATACTTCGTCAGAAGAAAGCATAGAAGAAAAAAAATGCTTGAAAAACTTTAGAAGATTAAATAGGAGGTTTGTAAGACTTCTGATGATGTTGTTGTGGAAGTCGCTGAAATTTAATAAAAAAGATTGATTATAGTTATTCTCAGTGGAACGGGTGAGCTTTGATCCAGTGTTTGGGCGGGTGAATTGAGGGGTGGCGGTGGTGCTCTATTTTCCGGTGATGTAGATATCAGGTGGTGGTGATGGTCAAGTAGGGATGTCAACGGGGGCAAACGGAGCGGGGATTGCATCCCCCGCCCCCACCCACGAAATTTTCCTGTTCCCCCGCCCCCGAAAATCTCTAGCCTACCATCCCCGCCCCGCCCCCAAATCTCAGGATTACCCCCGCCCCCGCCCCCGTTTAGGTTGCTTTTTTTTTTTGGGCGAAGGAAGGTGATGTTTAGGCTAAAATAAGTTATTTTTTGAGCTAAAAGAAACCATTTTGGATAAAAATGTTTATTTATAGCATAAGTTTATATATTTAAAATAAAATATTATAACATCTTAAAAATGTTATACTATAAACTTAAAAACATGATATTTAATTGAATTTTGGAAGTTTAAAATCATTGCTATTATTTATTATATTTTTATAATTAATATATATTAATATATAATATATTAATGGGGTCCCCATTGGGGGTTCGGGACGGGACTACCCACCCCCGCCCCCGCCCCCGAAACTAAAACGGGGGTTAACATTGCCCCCGCCCCCGTCCCCGATTTTTTAAACAAATATTCTCCATTTGGGATCGGGGCCCCACGGGTTCGGGGTCCCACAGGACTTTTTGACATCCCTATGGTCAAGTGTTCTTCAGCAAAACAGAAAAAAAATAAAATACTTTTTAAAAATTAAAAATAATAAAAATGTTAAAAAGAAATAAAAATGAAAAGGGCATTATAGTCTTTTCATATCTCAAAAGGGATGAAACGTGCAAAATTAAACTAACGAGGGATCTAGCGTGCACCTTTTAATGATATGAGGGACTGCCTAAGTTAATTTTTAAAAATATAAACTAAACGTGCATTTGAGCATATACACGAGGGACGAATGGTGTAATTTACCTAAAGTAAAACAAAAGTAGGAGAAAATATAGGAATTATACTGCCTAGTGGGAAGAAAAAGGTAATAAATAAAGTAAACAAATAACAATTGAAATTATTTTCCTTCGAGACTAAGTCATCCTGAGCAGGTCTTGTTATAGTCTTAAGGCAAGGCAAATGAGGAATGCCGGAGCCGGAGAAGACAGCGCTGGAGCCAGAGGAGAGAGTTGAACTCGGCGGTGTCGCTAATGTCTACGATCTTCCGACCTCCGGTGCCCATTTGAGGCAAGGATTTGAGAGCAGAAGGTCGGGTTCAGATAGCTTTTGGAGATATCTGGTTGGTTGAAATTTGTTTATGCATCAGGTCGGGAGGAGACGAAGATTAAAGAAAGTTTGGATCTAATTTTATTACTAAAAAAAGCTAAAGTAGGGTTTTTTGTTTGGTTCAGTTTTTATTTTTCTGAACATAGATGATAAGTAAGCAGTAAGCTGTGAATTATAAGAAATAGCATACCAATAACACAAAAGAAATACAATATTTATATTGCAAATCAGTCGTACCAAATAGAAAATGATAAAAACACATTAAACCCAAATAGATTAAAAGGTAAATGAAAAACAGCAACATCCATGCAAACAAGTTGAATCATCCATACTACTAACGTTTTCCACGAAGGTCAGAGAAGTACCCCTTAGGGTCAGCTTCAAACTTATCCCTTGGTATCATAGTAGATCTACCAGGAGCCTTCATCATCTTTGCCGCTGATTTTTTGGAGTCTGTGTTGTCGGAAAGCAGGCTAGCAATGCCCCAAGCAGCAACAGCAACGCCAGCAGCAGCTACCGCAATGGTCGTTGCAACTCCGATGGAAGTGGAACCTCCATCGGATTCTTGCCGAAGCTCCTCTTTACCCTTGTTCTTCGTCCCGTTTAATCTTTCAGTGCTTTCAGAGGCACCCATTTTTTCTATAACTTTTTAACTGCTACTCACAAATGATATATCGAAGAAGATGGTGGGTTATAGTCTTTATGTAGCAAACGAAAAGTCGGTCTTTACCAAGAAAATTAAACGTCAATGGATGCTGTAAAGTTAAATGCTTTTTAAAAGAAATTAATAAATGTTTTAACAAAAACCATTTAGATTTGCACAAACCCCAAAATGCTAATTACAAAGTATACAAATTGGAGGGACTCAAATTTATTTAACGACAAACCATTTTAAGATTAAAAGTTGTACGATTCGAACCTAACACTCACGCTATTTTAGAATGTTTAAATCTTAGATACTCGTCAATAGAGAACACGGACGTTAAATAATTATGCTATACGAATAAATCAAAACTATGTTACAATGTGAAACCATGGGTAAAAAAGAAAACTAATATTAATATTGATAGTTAAAAATGGTAATGAAAAATGAAAGATTTATAAAATTTTATAAATCTATTACAACTATCAGTCCGATCTTGCTTGCAACCATGATTTTGCATGAAAATAAATACAATGGTATATAAATAGAGCAAATAGTCACTAATTAAATGTTGGAATCACCCATGAAGTTAATAGTTCTACTAACTTGACATAAATGTAGCTTCCCATGCTTCTCAACTACAAAAATAAAATGGAAGTTCTCATATTAAAAAGTTATAATAAATATTTATGAAACTTTATAGCAACATACATTACTAAAAGGTATTTTTTTTAAGATATAAACATGTTACTAATTAGTAGGAAAACAATAGCAACATACGCTATTCAAAGGAAGAATAGCAATGTACTTGGTAGAAACAACTAAAAATATAAAAATGGTCATATCGATAGCCATAGAATAGTAATGTACTTTTTTACCAATTCTATCAAAAAAAAAAAAACCATTGTTAGAAACTTGAATTCTTTGTAAAATATTATTATTTACCTATCTGTATCTAAGATTAATGAACATGGTAAGAATCAATATAGAAATACAAAGTATTCAATAAAACAAACCAATACAAATATGCAATCACTGAGGTTTGTTGACTAGTCCGCTTCCACTTTAGCTTGCAGTATAACATGACTGAAAGTCAAAGGAATTTTATATGTGTTACAAGTAGGCGTGTTCGAAAATATCCCAATCCGAAAATTCAGATATCCGGTTTTTTCGGATTCAGATGTGGATAGTCATTTTGGAAATTTTCGGATAGTTCGAATATCCGATATTCGAAATTTGTAATTTTTTTATATTTCTTTACGTAATGATGAAACGATGGTCTAAAATTATATTATTATGAGTCTTTTAGATAGATTTCTTTGTTTTTATATAAAAATGGGTGATGTATGAATGAAATTAATAAGGGTCGTTGCTAATATATGCTTCATATAATATCATCTAAAATTGGAGACAAAATCGGATAATAACCACCACTTCAATTTGTCATCCAACAATATATCATTTATTTTATCTTTTCGCTAATTAACTTCCATTTCCATGTTAAATGACTTTTTACTTTAAAATGAGTGTATGAGAAAATAATGTTTATTTGTAAATATACTAACAAACTTGTAGGTGAGAAATATTTAAACTTTCATTATGAAATCTAAAACCATATATATCAATAATAATGAAAGGTGAATACAATTTTTAAAATAAAATTCGGAAGAATTTAAAACATACTAAATACCAAATCAAAACATGTAGTAGGGATCTTATCCCCTGCACTTAAGTGTTCGAGTTTCTTATGATTTCTAACATAACTGAACTTGGACCTCATTTTCAACCAAATGTGGGATAGAAATAGAATTGAATTCCAATTCCAATCAATTCTATGGAATCTAAAAAAAATTGTTGGCAAACGACTCTTAGTAATTGGTCTATAAAACAATAAAATGAATTCATGAATAAGTTAATATTAATTCGTTATTTTTTTAACTGTAAGCATTTGGATCATTCTAGCCACAAGCAATAAGATACACACAAATGCTATGAGCATAAAGACTACACGTAGAGTGTTGGGTTTAGTTTAAAAATAGTTTCCAAAAACTCATAACAATAGCAATAGAAGTCATAAAAATTTCAAGCATAATAGCATTTACAACCCACCAAAGATCTACTTGCAAGTTATGAAAAGATAAAAACACAACCATAAAAGAAGGAAGATGATAACAACCTTTGTTGTCTCTTGAGTCCTCTTGGGAGGATTGAGTTTTGATGAAGAATGTGAAACCAAAAGACACCAACAATTGATCAACTTGATGTAATGTTAGTTACCACTCTTAAGCTTTAAGTCAAAACAAAAGTATGACTTAAAAAGAAAATGCAAATAACTCTTCAACACTTTAGCACTTTACAAGAAGGTAAGATAGTGATAGAGATGAGCTAATTTTCGACCATTTCAAGCATTGAATGAATCACAATGAAAGCCTTAAGACTAGTAGTAAAGTAGAAACAATATCTTAAGGTCTTTAGCCATTTAGCTCTTTAGACAAGCATGTCCCCCATGCATGCATCATACCCAATTATTTTGATTATACAAATCAAAAGCCCTCACCCCATATCCTCTTAGGCACTCTCAACCTAAAAAAGAAAAAAGAAAGATGATAATTTAAGTTTTATAAACTCTGGTTTTATAAAATATAAACTTTGTCGTTAGGTAAAAGACAAAAATGATTCAACTACTCAAAAGGTTGTGCATGACTTATTAATTCACATCATATGAAATAATGTGTTACTTGTAATTGTAAAATAATTCTTTACATTAAATAAATATTTTCCCAATTTATTATAAGAGTTTATGAATATTTATTAAAATCAATTTCTAATAAATAATCAATTGTATTAAGTTGTTGTTAGTGTGACCCTTAGTATCGTATGTTAATTAGCAATATCATTCTAATATGACTCTTGATCATATAAGATCTTTCAATCTCCTACTTACACAAAACTCATATTAGATTGATATAAATAGTGGTGAACGTCTAGCAATATTTCATTGTCTCCATCAACATACCACTTTGTGCCATTCTATCAACACCCAATTCCCCAAAAGTCAAAGGCTACAATTGGTGTATAAGGTAAGTTTGTCAGTTATCCATTTGATACACACATCATGTTGAACATGAGATATAGATCGCAATCAATCTCATATAAGTGTTCAACTTTACATCATGCCTTATATGTCTAACTCTCAACGAATAAGACGAACAAATTTGTGACATCCCCAAATTCACAGTCATTTTAAAAAATTTATTTATGCTTATTTGAAAATCAGATTATCCTTTTTAAAGAATAATATTGCAGAATTTGTTCCCAGAAAAACATGATAAATATATTATCAAAACATTTCTGAAGAAATGCATTTTGTTTATATTAAAACTTTGGGATATCATCGTCAACATAGAAACATAAGCATAAACAGACCTTACATTCATTTACACCAATGATTAATATATTTATTAATCTCTCAATGTAATGTAGCTTCATATCGATACATGTGATACAAGTAAACTGAGTGGGTCAGGTTGGGAAACCTGGTGAGTACATAGGGTTTTCAACCCACAATAATAAAGTTATTATGTTTCATCAGCAAACAATCAACCCAATTACCTATCCCCATTATCTTATTTACTTCTTACGGATCTACCCTGAGAATCATCTATCATACTCAGTCATTTCTAAGGATTCTGCTAAGGAATAGGCACGAAGTCCATCGTTGCCTATGGTACAGCTGCCAATATTATCTATTAGGCACAACTGCTAATATTATCATTTAGGCGCAGCTGCCAAGATTAGGAAGTTCTCTATTAGGCGCGCACAACTGTCGATATTATCATTTACGTGCAGCAGTCAGGATTATGATGTTCTCTATTAGGCTCAGGTGCCAATATTATCATTTAGGCGCAACTACCAGGATTATGATGCTCTCTATTAGGCTCACCTGCCAATATTATCATTTAGGTGTAGCTACTAGGATGTTTAGAGTACATTGTAACACTCGTGTTTCTAGCCTAGGCATTTATATTGAGGTGATAGTCTAGGTTAACCTTTGTAACTCATTTTGAAGAAATGAAAAGGAATTATGTGAATACTATGTGAATTGTGTGTTTTATGATTAATTATTAGGGTTTAATTAATTAAGAATAAAAATGAGCGTCAAAAATTAAATTTTAGATAAAGCCGATATCTATTAAGAAACTTGTGGTGGGCGTGACAAGGATTACTGATATATAAAGAATGCCGAAATCCGAGTTATAACAAAGAAGTTATGATATGTCGAAGTTTCGCGACAAACCAGCACGGGGGCCAAGTGTCGTAAAAAGTGAGTTTTTGATAAACTACTTTTTAACCTTAGAGATCTAAACGAAAGCCGTAGTATTCGTTAAACCGGAAAGTTCGATAAAAAGAACGTCCAAATCTGACTTCGTATGAGGAAGTTATGATTTTTCGAAGTTTTAGCTTAAAAATAGACAGCTAAAAACTCGAAATTTAGATCGAGTGATTTTTAGCCGACACAACCTAAACGGAAATTGAAGGTCTCGTCATTAGTAGCACAACGGTAAAAAGTCTAACGAAAACGTACATCGAATGAAGAAGTTATGAATTTTTAACGGATTTCCTGTCCCGGTCTGTTAAAAATAATAATATAAAAATTAAAATCTAAATTAGCCGACGAAGTCTAAACGAAAGTTGTAGAGCGTAATTTTACCTACGGGTGCATATAAAGAACGTCAAAAACGGAGCTTGTATGCGAAAGTTATGGATTTTAGAAGTTTTGGCACGAAAAACGAGAAAATCCCCAAAACCAAGGAATTTCGCACACGTAGACTTCGGCCACAACACCCTTGCTCAAAACGCGCCACATGTCTGAAGTTTGCTGGGTCATCCGAAGGGTTCCACTAGGAGTCCGACGCGTGTCGCCTTCCTTCGCATGAATAGTAGCTGCGTGTCGGATTCTGATTCGACCAAAGGGAAGCCCAATCTGAAGC